ACTATTATTTGAATTAAATTGGCCATCTCGACGTGGTAGAGCCATGCTGCAGCTATATTTCTGGTATAGCTGTAGCACGAATGAGTCGGCTCGACTGGGGAAGGACCACGCTCTCACAGAATACCAGCGTAAAATATCAGCATTAAGCAAATAGCCGTTTAATGCTGATGTGTTTCGTAGGGTGAATATAGAGAACCGGAGATCCTTTTTACTAGAAATGAGGCATTCCATCTTAGTACTCACGGGTGACAACGCATCAGCATTTTGATTCGTAATCGAGGATAGATGTAGATGTCTATGGGCCGCAGCAACCACATCCAATCAGGGGGTTTGTCACCCTTAACCTATAAAAAAAGTCACGATTTTTTTTAATAAACTATCTGTAAACTAAGATGTAAGGAGCAGAGTTAGCTCAGCCACTGCGAGTGTAAACGGTGTAATTTTGACAATTCTAATGATTTCGATCCCAACTAAGATGAATTACATTGTTGATTTTAATTTTTTAACTATAATTTGCTACGTGCTCGTACGCAAATATTTTCTACCGACTTCAAAAAGGAGACGGTACTCAATTCGACTGTATGTTTTTTTTATGTGTGTTACCTCATAACATTTTACTGGGTGAACCAATTTCAATGATTCCTTTTTTATTTGAAAGCTGGTGCTTCACTTTTGGTTCCACATAAATTTGATCAAGGATTGAAGTCGGTTGTACAGATTGTTTAAATTTAAATTATTTTATAGAATAAAGGTGACAAATGAACACACAGTCCTCCTGATAGTAAATGGTTGCTGTAGCCCATAGACATCTATATCTATCTTCGTTTGCGAATTAAAATGCCGATGCGTTGGTATCCGTGAGGACTAAGATAGAATACCTCTTTTCCAGTCAAAAGGGTCTCCGGTTCTCTACTCTCACCATACGAAACACAGCATCATTGAGCTTTTATTTTACGCTGGTATTCTGTGAGGGCGTGGTCCTTCCCCGGTCGAGCTGACCCATTCGTGCTACAACTATACTATTAATATAGCTGCAGCATGGCTCTACCACGTATAAAATTGCAAAAGAACGGCTGTAGTCTGCAAATATGAACTGGAACAGCGCAGCAAAATAATTATTCTATAATTATCTCCGTATTGAGAGAGGGTCTGTGCTATGTGCCAAGCTGTTGTAATGCGCTAAATATATTACAGTGTACTTTCCAACACAGGCATATACGTATTAGAGCCATGCTGCAGCTATATTATGGCTGCAGCATAAATACTTTGGCTCGACCGGTAAGACCTCTCACAGAATACCAGCGTAAAATAGAAGCTCAATGCTGCTATGTTTCGTATGGTGAGTGTAGAGAACCACAAACACTTATTAACTGGATACGAGGCATTCCATCTTAATCCTCAGGGGTGACAATGAAACTAACTGCATTTTGATTCTTAATCGAGGATAGATGTAGGTGCGCTGTGTGCTCGCTTGTTATCCTTATTCTATAAAAAAGGCATTTTCTCCTCCCAATTTATATATTTATTAATTTATATATTATTTACCTATCATTATGTAACACTGATGCGATAATTAGTAACACAGAGTTAATTAAGTACAACAGAACCTTACACGAAAATCAATAATCTGTGCTTTTGCACAAATATTCGAACTGTGGACCCGATGCTTGGTAGGCAGACGTTTTGTTACCACTATACACGTGGACGTCAAAAATGTATTTGCTTATAACGAAAAAAATCATCATAATCAAAATATAGTTAAATTGCAATTTAGATGGCATGATGGGCTTATTATACACGTACCACGGTGGATAATGCTTGTTAAATGTCACGTGACTTGATTAAATACTAGATTTATTGTAGGAGTTCGCAACTGATTAACATAATAATCCCATAAACGCGCCACTCTGTCTTGGGAAAGTGTCCATTGAATGATATAATGGTGTCCAGAATTGTCGAAATTTTAATAATATTGTTATGAACTGTAACACTAATGGCTTATGTATAGTAGATTAAATCAATTTTCACCACCTGCTGCGGTGGTAGGAATCAAGAATGTCACCTCCATGTTTGACTAAATATGTGATTAGACATTTCAAATCCTAAATTAAAATTTGTAAATTTACCTCGCGTATATTCGCTCGATAAAATAAAATGATATGTCTTACCTAGTTTGAAGGAGGTGGTGCTCATCAAACTAGGTAAGAATTTTTACCAATTTTAATATGATGGATTTCCACAAAGTAACGCCTGATTCTATTAATTATTTCAAATCCGCTAATGAGAGCGAATAATCTGCCGTTCACCAGATGCCGCTAGTTTACATTTAGATGAAGTTTTTACGCAATATCATTTAAATAAAAGTTTACCAATTTCTAGAGTATTATATTAATACGCAAAATAATGCTTCAGTGGTTTGCTCCTTAAATTTTTGCACATTTTTAATTTTTTTAATTTTACAACTTTTACGAATATCTGTGGTTTGGGTTATTTATTTTTAATCTAATTAATAAAAAATGTAAGTAATAGTACAAAAATAAATATTTACCTTTACATTTTTCGAACAAATGAACTTCCCCGTTATACTATATAGTTTTGCTTTGTAGCCTTTATATGACCGAGGTAGGTACCTATGTCCTTTGCCCAGCAGTGTAAATTTTATTCTTTGATTTACGATATATATGTTAAAATGTATAAAATTCGTGAGTGGTCTGACCTACACAAACATTTCTAGTAAATGATTTCGGTTATTTATGAATTCTAATACCAACGTTTGCAAATTTTAATATCATTTTATAAATTTAAAAATTACATTCAAACTTTTTAAGCCAGTCATTTCAATTTTAAGGATATTTTTTTGTTGTCTGTTTTAACGCCTACCACGTTCTTTGTTTTATTTCAACGAATTCTTTTGTGACTAAATTAAGAATTCATTTTCGTCATTGTTTAAAAGTAATTCGATGCCGTAATGGCTTTACCTTCGTCACTTACGGCAACAGTCGGTAGAGTGACATACTTCAATCAATATAAATCAAAATTGGCAACGGAGCGAAACGGAGAGTGTAATTTTAATGTGTGTGCAGTTTATGTAACAAAAATGTCGATATATTAAAATATATATAAATAAACACATTATGTTGTATACATAACAAAATACAAAAAATAATCACCAGACATTACCTCCAGTTAATATTTAACACATTAAATATAAATAAAAGCACATTCAAAAATAATATTTATTAATTAAAAACGCTTGTCAGCTAAAAAGGAATGACGAGTATTATTTCTTAAACAGTCTACTGCTGGGCATAGGTCTTTTCTATCACTATCACTATCACTATCATTACAAGTCCACTACTGAACGTAGTCCCCCTCTATAGATTGCCACAAAGTACGGTCCTGAACAACATACATCCTTTTCTTTCTATTGTAGATACTTTTATGTGAAAATAATGCCATATCTCGTAATGCATATAATCGTCTATCTTGGTACGTGGATTTCCTAATTTTGTTTCAGACGTCCCTCACTTTAAACACTGCTCCCTATCACTGGTCTAGATTTGGCATATAATATGAGAAATTTATTATCCTTAAAAGTATATCGAATGATACAAAAAAATATTAGGAATTTTCTTTCATTGTTTGTAAATATAATAAGGCTTTTGATGTATATATTTTTTAATCGAATATAATTGTTAGTAATTCATTCCATATATTTTTTTATATTAATCTTAAATAAATCACCCGAAATTACAAAAAAATATTTTAAACTTAATTAAAGGTTTTATTTTAAATTTTAATTAATTTATTGAAATTTTAAGAACTAAAAAATTTCGTTTCAAAATTATCAGTAGTCGGGAATCATTCAATATATAAATAATTGCTAATATAACTGCGGGCATACTGGGACAGATTGCCGAATTTAATTTACCTTTTGTCAAACGCAGCACATTCTAGATTAATTAAAAGTACCACTACAGAACGGATGATTTGTTCGCAAAATGTTCATTGAAACATACGTTTTGTAACGGTTCCACTTAAAAAAAAATAGTTCCCATTTTTTTTAGAAAAAGTGTAACAATAAAAATCTTAATTTAAATTAAAAAGATGATTGTCTAGTTTCGTTATTGATCAAATTTCTTATTATCTGTACATGCATTGAGCATTCACTGAATGTGCTGTCCTATTAATAATAAAATTTATAATTTCCTAATTATTAATAAATTGCTACAACAATGCGTAAGGAACCTGCAAATAACTTTTACAAATGTTTTATAATATGACACATTGTTAATAATGCGTCTAGCCTCCAACTAGGTAAATGGTACCACAATTAACAAATGATAAAATTTAACATTTTGTACAACCGATTTCAATATAAATTATTAAGGATAACTCAAAAACTACCAGTCAAACCTTGATCAAATTTACATGTGGCTACAAGAGAAGCACGAGCTTTAAAATAAAAGAATCATCAAAATCGGTTCAAAAGTTATGAAATAACACACATTAAAAATATTCAGTCCAATTGAGTACCTCCTCCTTTTTGAAGTCGGTTAAAAAAACTTCATCATATATATATATAACTAGGCACAGGCATCCTCTAAATTCTGAGAGGGTTTTTGGGATAGTATTCACTACGCTGCCCCCATACGTGTAGGTGGATTTCACATCATGTCTTCTAAATACTTTAATGTTTTTATTCCTCAAACATGCAGGTTTCCTCACGATGTTTTCCTTTCCCGCCTATCACGTGGTAGATCAGCACTTTTTAACAGATCACAGATCTAGCCTGGGTTGCCCGCGTACTGTGAAATTAGCGAACGCTTAACCCACGACTTGCGGTGGCTGAGGTCCATGTAGCAGGAAAATATTAGTCTGTAATGTGTCTCTAAGATGGTCCCTCACTAGAACGGAGGAGGCCTATCCAACATTGGACTTTTAATTGCTAACATATCTCTAGCATTCGCATTCAGATATAAACTCTTTGTTTCAGAAACATGGATCCCGAGTTGATAATTGAAGAGATAAAACAGCAAACCACACCCAGTACATCCACTTTCACCACGGTTTACCCATCGAACGAAAATCGAAGCTCGTGGAATAATATTACTGATGTCAACGGCCAAAGCCTTAATATATATTATTTCTATGACGTAAGTATTTTTGTCTTCTTCAAATATGTTATATCAGAGTAAGAGTAAACGTTAATCCTGTTTGTACATGGATATAATTGATGGAAATCAAGGCAAATGTTAGTAACCACGTGGTCGCTGACACATGATAAATTAAACTACGAGTCGCCTAATGGTTGAAATTGGACCATAATTCATTAAATTTTTAGGTTTGTATATTAACAAAGCTGTATTTTACTTTCAACTGCACAAAATATAAAATAAACACGTTTTTGCTTTGACATATTCCACTCCACTTGAAAATGTAACAATGAAATCACAAAAAATTCACAGCTTATTTTGTCTATTTGTCAGTAATTACTTGTTGGCAACATTTTAAACTAAACAGACATATTTCTGCGGCGGGATTTACGCAACTTCATTACTCGTGTTGAAGAAGCGATCGAGCGGAACCAGGACTCCAAAGTCTTTGCCAGAGATCTTTGCCGGAGAGAGACGACTCCGTGGCGCAGTGGCTTAGCAATCAGTTGTTGCGTTGGGGGCCGCGGGTTTGAATCCCGCACGGAACAAGTATTTGTATGGCCTACAAATAATTGTTCCGGGTCTGGATGTTTGTCCTTGTGCAATTTATGTTTGTAAACTGCCTCCACGATTCAGGAGAAAATCCTAGTGTGGGGTAACGTTTTTTATAAAATGAAAAACAAAACATCATCATCATCATCATCATTACAGCCCTTCACAAGTCCACTGCTGAACATAGGCCTCCCCCAAAGAATGCCACAAAGCACGGTCCTGAGCCACCTGCATCCATCGACTTCCTGCATGTCTTACCAAAAACAAAACAAGAAAAAAAAGAGATTTGTTTGACAGAAAGAGCCAACTGTCGAAGCTAAAGACCGAGTTAGGCAGCGTCGATTAGATATTGAGATTCAAGATTGAGAGGTTCTTAGTGCAGCTGATCGATCGACAATCCAGTAGTAAGTCTTATCCGACACTATTCCGATGATGTCATGGTCATCTGATGGTCAGTTTCAGTTAGATTATAATGGCTCTCCAGCACCTTAAAAACGGCTAGGCCACAGGCCAGGATGGATGTAGCGGAGCTTTTGAAAGGGGGTGGAAAACCAGTACTTTAATCCCTTCAGAAGCTCTTTAGTTCCGTCCTTCATAGTGGTACTACACCGAAAGCATGGAGCAGAAGCGCGGTGGTATTATTCTTTTAGAAAAGCGAAAACGCCTTCTTGATTGACTACAGACCGATTTCCCTTCTGAGCCGCGTCTACTTGGTGTTTTCAAAAGTCATTACGAATCGTCTCGCACGCAGACTCGATGACTTCCAGCCTCACGAACAAGCTGGTTTCCGAAAAGGTTTTAGCACCATAGACCACATACATAACTTTCGGCAAATCGTAGAGAAGTCCTAGGAGTACAATCTGTCGATATATCTTGCGTATGTGGACTATGAGAGAGCCTCTGATTACGTCGAAATTTGGGCAGTGCAGCAGTCTCTTCAGCGGTGCCAAGTAGACTGTCGGTATATCGAAGTGCTGGAGTGTTTGCTCACTAGGGCTACGATGGCTATCTAAGTACAGAACCAGAGCACGAATCCCATCCAACTGCAGAGAGGTGTAAGACAGGGTAACTTATATCCCCGAAACTCCACCGCTGCATTGGAAGACAATTTCAAGCTACTTGACTAGAAAGGATACGATATTAACATCTTATAGGAGTACAATCATTTACTTTCGATTTGCAGACGATATAGCCTTATGGCAGAATCACTGGGACCTAAGCACTATACTCAATGACCTACTCAATGAACATGGACGAAACAAAGATCATGTGTCAAAGTCCATGTCAGACCTATGTCGGTAGTCGGTGGGAGCACTAAGCTCGAAGTTGTTTAGGAGTAAGTTTACTTGGGATAACTAATCTGACTAGGTAAGCCCAACTTCGACCGAGAGGTCAATCGATGAATTCAAGTCGTCTGGGCAGTGTTCGGGAAATTACGACATATCTTCTCGTCAGGTATATCGCAAAACTTAAGAACGAGATTGTACAACCAGTACGTGTTACCAGTGATGAATTATGGATCTGAGACGTGGTCCTGCACTGATAGCCGTATTAGGAACCTCAAGATCGCTCAGCCAGCTATGGAGAGAGCTATGCTCTGGGTTCATCTGCGTGGTAAACTTCAAAATGAGGATACCCGCAATGAAACCAGGGTGACTGACATAGCTCAACAGATTAGTAAGCTGAAGTGGCAAAAGGCCGGCTATATAGCTCGTAAAACAGACAAACGATGGGGAAAAATTTTTCTCGAGTGGCAGCCTCGTATCAGTATGCGAAGTGTAGGGTGTCTCCCCACTGGATGGAATAACGACCTGGTAAAACCTGCAGGAAGTCGATGGATGCAGGTGGTTCAGGACCATGCTCTGTGGCATTCCTTGAGGGAGGCCTATGTTCAGCAGTGGACTTGTGAAGGGCTGTAATGATGAATGATAAACATTTTAAAATTATTTTACTTGCTATATTCTCTACTCTGTGCTACTGTTTGACCACAGTCTATTAACTGTTTGACGTTGGTGTTGGAGTAATAACATACATATCCTTATAATTACTTTGAGACATTAGCAGTATGAACGTCAACATACGACATAATTTGTCCAAGCGGCAATTATGTGATTTAAATTAGTAGCATGAACGTTAACAATGTATGTTTTATTCTATTTAATTAAATAAGTTGTAGCTTTCTGTATGTCTGCTCCATATAATCTTTTACTATGCCTAATCTAAAACTCCTCAATACGAGCAATTTGCTTAAAAAGAGGCACAAAGTTTTCTCTTCTCGTATTAATATATAGATAAGTAAAAATTAACAGTAAAGTAACACTAGTTATTGTTCACAATTTTTTATCGTTTTGAATTCTAACATCGGACTCTCGGCTTACTTTACTAAGTTTTTCCCACCAATGAACCGAAAATGACGTACTTGCGTACTATAAAATTTATAGCGCACTGAACTATCATAGGGGCACTGAACTATTCATAACTAATTGAATTTATAAAATAAAGTTTCTGTTTCTGTTCCAAAGATCTGATTAATCCTTAATGTTAAAATAACATTAAATCCATCCGGTTTTCAACAGGTGTTCGACACTTTTTAAGTGTACAGTGGTAGCAGTATGCCTTGGTTCGATCTGAGAAGGACCACATCCTTACAAAGTCTTCTAGGCTACATTTTTCGGACAGGACGGCCTTTATGAAGGCAAGCCATTATGCAGAACAGTATTGATGCACGAGTGTGTGCACAAACACCGGTGCACTCTCGTAGTCTGCTAGTACGGTAGTCAAGGAGAAAACAAAACCTCCTTTACAAGCTTTTCGAGTCACAGAGGTGAAACACTGCAAACTTTCTGTCAATTTGTTGACAGAAAAACCTGTTGATGTTGATCCTGTGGGATTCGAGCCCAGGAAGACATGAGTAGCTGTGACAAGCATTAATCTAATTTGGGACAAGTCCTTGAAATCACACGAGTCGATTTATGTGAAGGGAGTCAATCTCGTCACACCCACTACATTTTTAGGTGGATTATATTAGTAGTACATCGTGAAAAGCTTTCATCGCGTAATGGACACTTTTGTGAGGACACTATCGTACGACGACACTGATAATGTTATCAAATAAAACCCACTGTTGAACTAAATGAAGTGATACATTTAATACACCAAGTCCTTTCCATGTGCCACTCGTAGGATATTGCTTAGTTAGTAAAAATATAAGCCGTTTAAGGAATTTGAAATGAAATAAATTTCATCTTGCAAAAGAAAGCGATGTAACTAAATTATAAATGTAAGGCCTCGCGAGTAGCTTTTTAAGTAGATTAATATTACAACACTTCTGAAAAAAAAAAGCGGCTGGTATAACATTGACTTAAACTAGAAAATCTTTTGTGAATAAATGGATAAAATAATAATAATAATCTTTAGTGACATAAAAAATGTTACAATATTTTTTGAAGTCCCTGACTCCCGAGGTAGGTTAGAAAACCTGTGTTACGATGTCAGTCAGTGCGATCTCCTTAATATAAATGACAGCTAAACTATTTTATATAAATTTTTGTAAAAGCTTTTATATAATGGATTTCCGCAAAGTAACGCCTGATTCTATTAATTATAAATAAAGCAATTTAATTATAAAATGTTCATAAAATCTCTGAAAGTATAGTTCAGCAGTCTGACACAAAATTTCAAATACTTTAAGGCAATTCTGTAAAAAAGGCCTGTTTACTGATGTTTTGTTAAAATTGACATTTAAAAATATTGCATTTACTATACATTTGACATTGTAAATGAAATTTTATCATAGAATTTAAAAAATGAAAGACCTTAAAGTGTTATTATCGATTCTTCTTTCATAATTGTTGGTGTCTAGCCTACAGTATTTACTTACCATCAGGTTGACTGTGTTCACTTTTTCACCCTTCCTTTTATAAAAATTATCTTTCTTTAAATTAAAAAAAAAAATTGCAGTGTCTTAGAATATTAAATTAATGTCGTAACCAAGAGGTAAAATCAATTACACTTATGAGTTTCTAATTAAGGGAATGCTTACATTATGTATGTATTATGTATTGATATAATTAGGCCTGAAATACCTCTTCTCTATCACGAATGCTATACCAAAATTAGTATTTATTGTTCATTTTATTAATTTCCACATAATTAATATTTAAAATGAATATATCGTGCTCACAGTCAACCTTTCAGCAGCAAACAGCCGTGTCCTCAGAAGCGTCGCATATTTGTGGATGCAGTTCCATCAGAAACATCAATGTTTATGGACTCCAAGGACCGATAGTCTCTACAGCAATAAGCATAATTATACAGTCGTCTCACAGAGACACAAATTTTGTCACAAACTCTATATTTTTATTATTTATGACGATATTGCGCCTCGCAGTCAGTTAAGATTGTAGTGTGAGATTGGACGTGGATGCTTATTTAGTAAGTGGCGAGCC